GTGCCCTGCCCGGGGACAGCACAGAGCCACCCCAGAGCTGTTGTGGGGTCTCCCCAAGAGCCTCCCCACCAGGGCAGTTACTGCCAGAGCTTCCAGCCATTCCAGCACTGGGGGTTACCTCAGCACCTCTGAGGGTGTCACAGCAATTTTTTGGTTCAGATTTCAGCCCTAAGTATCCTCCACATCTTCATTTCTTCAAAACACCCGCAAGATTTGTGGAATCCTTCTCCCAGGGCTGCTGCATCTGCTTATCCCCAGCCTGGATTGATCCCAGAGTTGCAGCTCCAGCACTCGGCCTGGTTAAACCTCATGAGGTTGTCGAGCTTGCTTGAGTTTTTCCAAGTCCTTCTGGATGGCATCACATCCCTCAGATTTGTCACTTCACCCTCAGCTTGGTGTCACCTGCCAGCCTGCTGAGGTTGCACTTGATCCCTTCATCTATGTCATTAATAAAGATACTAAATTAAATAATTAATTAGGGTTTAAATGTGAAGTTAATGTAGGTTGTTATCTTTGGAACCCTCTGCCTCCTTTTGAAGAACATAATTTGGAAGAAATCAATTATTGGCAGGGCAAACCCTCCTTCCGAGCACTGCTTTGCTCCTACCAGAGCACGTGCCCTCAGGCAGCAAGGGAAAGGAAAAGTTACAGGTCCTGTCCCAGGAGAACTCCCTGAAGGAAAAGGAATCATTTTCCAACTGTTTGCAGCACTGCCAGTGGAGGGAACCCCACACAGGACACCCTGACAGGAGGCTGAACAGCTCCTGAGGCTCTCAGGGCTCACTCCAGAGTGGGTTTGCAACACCAGGGGCACAAAGATTTAACAGAGTTTAAGGCAGAGCTGCTGCTGAAGGGGCTGCAGCCTCTGCCTGCCCTGCTCAGGCACCCCAGGTGTTTGTGAGGATTTTTGGGGAACCCCTGCAAGGAAGGGACCCAACCCTGCCCTGGCATCACAGCCAGGCTGGGCTGGGTGAGGATGGGATCCCCCAACCTCTGCAGCCCCCTCAGCCTGTGGCCACTCCACACAAAGATTTTCTCCCCCTGTTCCTTATCACAATTTGTGCCACACAAACCCTTGGAGACATTGGACTGCTTACAGAGCACCAGGAGCCACACCTGACCTATT